TTCAGAGAGGTAGGGAGAGAGGGAGAAGGATAGAAACATCAATGATGAGAGACTCATTGAACAGCTGCCGCCTGCACGCCTCCTTCCCATTAGAGATTGAACCCACAACCTGAGTATGTGCCCTGATCGGGAATTGAACCAGAACCAGGAACTTTTTTTTTTTTTAAATATATTTTATTTATTTTCCACAGAGAGGAAGGGAGAGGGACAGAGAGTTGGAAACATCAATGAGAGAGAAACATTGACCAGCTGTCTCCTGCACAACCCCCACCGGGGATGTGCCCGCAACCACTGTACATGCCCTTGTCCAGAATCGAACCTGTGACCTTTCAGTCCGCAGACTGATACTCTAACCATTGAGCCAAGCTGGTTTCAGCATCAAAACCATGACCTCTTGATTCATAGGTCATCACTCAACTGTTGAGCCATACCAACCAGGCCAGCAAATATTTGTTTTAACCATCAATTAGTTCAGTTTTTTCTCTTGAGCATCTACAACTGCTGCTGCTGCTGATACTGCTATTATTACTACTACTATGACTACTAGTACTGTGTTTTGGGTACTGAACTAGGTTCAAGGTGTATTACAGAAAATCATGTTATATAGAGTGATCAGACACATATATGTGCCATAATAGAGATAGATATAATTGGCTGTGGAATCTTAGGTGATTATATTAAGTAACCAATAAGTTTAATTACTATGTGACAGGCACTGTTTGAAGAGTTCTTTTTTTATATTAATTCATTTAAATAAGCAATAAAACTATGCAGTAGGTACACTTGTTGCCCCCCATTTTTAGATAAAGAAACTGAAGCACAACAAGTTTAATTACTTTGCCTTAGTGAAAATGCTAGTAAATGATGAAACTGTGATTTAAACTCAGGACATCTGACTCCAAAGTGTATATTTTTTATTACTAACCTATACTGACTATATCACAGTTTTTATTTGTTGGATTCACAAAAGTGATGGTAAAAGTTGTTCACTTGTGTTATTATGGAAAGGTGGGTATCTTGAAATACTTATTAAAATATACACCGAGTGGCCAGATTATTATGATCTCTGAATGCATAATAATCTAGCCACTCAGGAGGAGGAGACATGGATAGGTTGGCCAGCCTGCCTGCTGGTCAAACTCCTAGTTGAGGGGACAATTTGCATATTAGCCTTTTATTACCACGTTTCCCCGAAAATAAGACATCCCCTAAAAATAAGACTTAGCGCAACTTTGGGAGAAAAAATTAATATAAGACACTGTTTTATTTTCGGGGAAACAGGGTATATAGGATATACACTAAGTGGCCAGATTATTATGCATTCAGAGATCATAATAATCTGGCCCCTCAGTGTATATGCTGTTCAGTTATGATTAGCATATTTACTTTAATAATTATCCTGTTGAGGTGAACAGTTAATGCAAATGTGACTCCCTTTCTTACATTGCTATCCAACTCAAATTCTTTTTTTCTTAGATGTGTATACCTTTTTTTTTTTCTTCTCAGTTGAAAGATAAAGCCCTGGCCAGTTTGACTCAGTGGATAGAGCATTGGCCTGCGGACCAAAAGGTTCCAGGTTCAGTTCCCCAAAGGGTCCCGGGTACGATTTCCCAAAGGGTCCTCGGTTCAATTCCAGTCAAGGGCACATACCTCTGTAGCAGGCTCCTCCCTGGCTTGTTCCCTGGTCAGTGTGGGTGCAGGAGGCACCCATCGATATTTTTTTCTGTCTTTCTCTTCCACTATCTCTAAAAAATCAATGAAAAAACATCCTAGGGTGAGGATTAAAAAAAAAAAAAAAAAAAAAAAAAAAATATATATATATATATATATATATATATATATATATATATATATATAAAAATAGATTTTTTACAGAGAGGAAGAGAGAGGGATAGAAAGAAACATCAATGAGAGAGAGGGATAGAGAGAAACATCGATGAGAGAGAATCATCAATCAGCTGCCTCTTGCACACCCCCCCTTTGGGATGTGCCCGCAACCAAGGTACATGCCCTTGACGGGAATCGAACCTGGGACCTTTTAGTCTGCAGACCGAAGCTCTATCCACTGAGTCAAACCGGTTTTGGCTAGGGTGAGGATTTAAAAAAAAAAAAGATACAAACTTAAGTAAACAAATTGACTTTCTTAGCCATTACTGAACTTTTATTAAGGAAATTCTAGTTGTCAATATATGCCGTATTTTCCTGCGTATAAGATGACACTGTGTTCTAATAAAAAGCCTGCTCAGATTGGCCAGAGTCAGAGAGGTGGTCTATTAAAAAAAGAACTGGTGTTGCCTCGGAAGTGGGGGGTAGTATTATACAGCAAATATAGGCCTAAACCTATGTTTTAACTGTAAAATTAGGGGGTCATCTTATACGCCAGAAAATACGGTAGGTGAAGATATAAGATAAAAACAAAAAAGATATAGGTAAGTAATAAACATGTCAATATATAAATCTTCATTTTGCCAACTTATTTTTATGTTAAGACTCTAGGATATGATGTCAGTTTTTCTTGAAGGTGAAATAGTGTTATGTTGAAAGTTAAAGAATTGGAATAGAAATTATGTTTGAGAAAACATTAACTTGTCATAAGCATTTAATCCCTTGGTAATTTTGTATCAGTGTAAGTACTGGGTAAAATTTCATCTCACTGTACAAAAGGCAATGTGTCTGATTACTGTTTAACTTACAAAGTTGCAATCATTACACACACACACACACAAACACACACACACACACACACCAGTTGTCATAAAATAGGAACATATGCCAATATTTGTTGCTAGGCATTAGAATGATTTTGGTATATAATAGGCATTCAGTAAATATTTGTTCAGTGAATGAGTAATTGTATTATAGGTCTCTGTTTTTTATCTTCTCAGTATCAATTTATTAATAAGAATGGAAAACCTGGATATTTACAGATTCAATAAAAATAAGCTTCATGGGCATAATGCAGCTTAACATGTTCTTTTGACAATTTTAAAAGATTCTAGTCAAGTCAATGTGTTAAGAAATTCACATGTAGATGCTATACTTTTTAAAGTATCTTGTTATTAATATCTTATAGAAGGAAATAGGTGGTAAATTTATTTGTAATACAGTGAATTACCTCTTGATTAAAAAAATGTGTTTTGCTATGCAAATAGAGTATAGATAACCAGCTTTTAAACATTCAGCAAGGAAGAAAATCTTTTATTACTAGAAGAACAGTATATATCAAATCTCTTTCTTTCTTGTTAAATTTTCAGGTGAAGGGAAATGGCTTCGAAACATTGACTATTACCGTTTAGATGGTTCTACTACTGCACAATCAAGGAAAAAGTGGGCCGAAGAATTTAATGATGAAACTAATGTGAGGTAGAAAACCTTTTCTGTTTGTGTAGAGTTATTAAAGATCATTTAAATCTACATAGAGTAAAATTCATTCTTTTTAGTGTATACTTCTACAATTTTTGACAATTGCAAGATATAGTCAAGATGTAAAATGGTCTCATCAACCCTTCAAGAAATTCATTCATGGAATCATGCAATTGTAGTCTTTTGAATATTACTTCTTTAACAAAGCACATGCATTTGAGATTCATCCTATTGTTATTTGTGTCCATAGTTTGTTACTTTTTATTGTGTAATATTTCATTGTATGGATGTATCATAATTTATTTGTATTTGAGAGACATTTAAGTTGTTTCTAGGTTTTGGAATTAAAATTGGAAGTTGCTCTAAGTATTCATGTATAAGTTTATGTGTGATCCATAGATAATTACTCAATGCAATAAAAATCCAGGAGTGTAATTCCGGGTTTTATGGTAAGTTTATGATTAGCTTTGCAGGAACAGGCAGTTTTCAAAGTAGTTGTCTAATTTTTTCATTTTTACCAGTAATATAAGAGTGTTCCAGGTGCTCTGCGTACTTGTTAACACTTGGCATTATTGTCTTTTTAAAAAATTATTTTATCCATTCTAATGGATATGTAATGATACCTCATGTTATTTTAATTTGCATTTCCCTGATGATAATTGATGTTGGGTGTCTTTTCATGTGCTTATTAGCCATTTTTTATCATCTTTGGTTATAAACATGTTATAGGATTTTAAAGTTAATGAAGTATTCCTGATCTCTCTATTTATTATAGAAATTTAAGTCATGACTCTTGTGCAATGTGGGAGTTAGGATCACCGAGCCCTCTCCCACATTTGAAAATCCACATATAACTTTTGCTTCTCCCAAAACATGGCTACTAATAGCCTACTGTTGACTGGAAGTGTTGCTGATATAATATGTATTTTGTATATAATATGTATTATATATACTGTGTTCTTATATTAAAGTAAGCTGGAGGAAAGAGAATGCTATTAAGAAAATCTTAAGGAAGCAAAAATACGTGTAAAAAGTTAACATATAAGTGGACCCAAACAGTTCAAACCCATGTTTTTCAGAGTTCAGCTGGACTTTAAGCCACTGTAGGTATAGGGAGTGCTGTATATGTCTTGTTGGTGTTGCTTCTAACTTAGCAATTAACAGACTTGAACTTCATTTGGAAGAAAAAGTATATATACATACATATAAACATATGTGTAAAAAGCATGGCCTTTAAGAAAAAGACGAAGAAATGGAGTTAGTTTAATGACAAGGTGGCTGGGGATGTCTTCATAAATGTGTTAAAGTATGAAAGATATTATATTGTGTATGTAAAACTTATGTTGTTTCTAGCAGAGTACTAAACTATTCCTAGGGGTAAGGCTAGAGAAATTATAGTTGTGAAGGTATTTAAAATGCATAGTCTGGGAGAGCTTACAGAGGGGATGGCTTGAGTACAGTAAAATTTTAAAGCATATGTTTAAATACCTTTAAAGCATGTAAATACACATATTTTGTTGACCATATTTTTAAAAATTATTTGTGTAAAGAAGTAATTTTTTTTTGGTTGGCTAAATTTTATTTATTTACATTTTTTTTAAAGACACATTTATTCAGCGTCATAATCAGACTATTACATTTAGCAATCAACAGCATGGATGCAAAAAAAAAAAAAATCTACATTAAAACCCTTGGTTGGAATGCTTTACACTTTCCACAGAACAGAAACTAAAATAACCTGTTACACAATTAGTCACAAGTACAGTCCTCAAGTTTTTTTTGCCCATTCACATGCGTATTGTCTAACACATGTCTTCTTTGTAGCAGCTAGGCCCTGCCACCACTGTGCTTGGCTGAGTTCACAAATCTGTTGTAACCTGTAGCTTCCCTGTCACTTCTCTGGCTCTCCTTCCCTGCTAAGCTTTGTTTCCTGGCAGTAATTAAAACCTTCTGCCACTGCCATAGCTACTGCTGCTGCTGGAACCCCCATAGCCACCTTGGTTTCGTGGTTTGGCAAAGTATTGCCCTCCACCACCATAAGGGCCAGAGCTTCTGCCTCCAAAGTTTCCTCCTTTCATAGGCCCAAAATTTGAAGATTGATTGTTGTAATTGCCAAAATCATTGTAGCTTCCACCACCTCCAAAATTGCTTCTATCATTACCAAATCCGTTATAATCATCCCCACTGCCACCATATCCACCACCACCACGGCTGCCACCAAAGGCACCACGGCTGCCACCAAAGGCACCTCAACCACTGAAGTTTCCTCTGTGACCAAAGTTGTCATTTCCACCAAAACCACCTTCACCACCACCTCCGAAGTTTCCAGAACCACTCCAACCTCTTTGGCTGGACGAAGCACTAGCCATCTCTTGCTTATATAGGGCTTTCCTTATTTCACAGTAGTGGCCACTCACAGCACGGTATTTCTGAATGACAATCTTGTCCACAGAGTCATGGTCATCAAAGGTTACAAAAGCAAAGTCCCTCTTTTTGCCACTGCCTCGGTCAGTCATGACTTCAATCACTTCTATTTTCCCATACTGTTCAAAATAATCTCTGAGGTGATGGTCTTCAGGGTCTTCTTTAATACCACCGACAAAAATCTTTTTCAGTTAAGTGGGCACCAGGTCTTTAGAATCTTCTCTTGAGACAGCACTCTTTGGTTCCACAACTCTCCCGTCCACCTGTGTGGCCTTGCGTTCATGGCTGCATCCACCTCCTCCACAGTGGCATAGGTGACAAACCCAAAGCCTCTGGAACGCTTGGTGTTTGGATCTGTCATCACCACACAGTCCATGGGCGTCCCCATTGCTCAAAATGGCTCCTCAGACTCTCATCTGTTGTTTCAAAGCTCATACCTCTGATAAAGAGCTTCCTCAGCTGCTCCGGCTCTTTGGGAGACTCAAACTTAGACATGATGCCTGCAACAGGGGGGATTCCAACAATGCTCACTCCGCGGCGTTCACCAGCAGAAAGCCTTTTTCATTTTTTAAATCAAAGTATTATATGTGTACATATCTTACCATTGCTGCCCCCCACCCAACTCCCACACATGCCTTCATCCCCCAGAGTTTTGTGTCCAATGGTTATGCTTATATGCATGCATACAAGTCCTTTGGTTGATCTCTTATCTCCCCCATCTCTCCCTAACCTTCCCGCTGTAATTTGACAGTCTGCTTGTTGCTTTACTATCTCTGTATTTATCTTCTTCTTCATCAGTTTATAATGTTCTTTATTATCCATAAATGTGTGAGATCCTGTGGTATTTTTCTTTCATTGACTGGCTTATTTCACTTAGCATAATGTTCTCCAATTCCATCCAGGTTTCTGCAAATGGTAACAATTCCTTCTTTTTTATGGCAGGTTAGTATTTCATTGTGTAGATGTACCATAGTTTTCTGATCCAGTCATCTGCTAGCAGACGGGCACCTAAGGTGTATCCAAATCTTAGCTATGGTGAATTGTGCCACTATGAACATAGGGGTGCATATATCCTTTCTGATTGTTGTTACTAGTTTCTGGGTTTATATTCCTGGAAGTGGAATCACTGGGTCAAATGAGAGTTCCATTTTCAGTTTTTTGAGGAAGCTCCATACTGTTCTCCACAGTGGCTGCACCAGTCTGCATTCCCACCAGCAGTGCACGAGGGTTCCTTTTTCTCTGTATCCTCGCCAACACTTGCCGTTTGTTGATTTGTTGATGATAGCTATTCTGGCAGGTGTGAGATGGTACCGCATTGTCGTTTTGATTTGCATCTCTCGGATAATTATTGATGGTATCCACAAATTACCTGAAAAATGGGGAAATGTGTAGCTAGCAATGGACATTACTTTAAATAAAGCACTTTTGATGTTTCTCTTGAAATTATCATGTTTTCTTTGATTACAAAATCTGACATTATTAATCAGTACACCTAGTAGATTCTAAGATTCTCAACAAAATATTAGCAAACTAAATTCGTTAGTACTTTAAAAAGATCATGCAAACATGATCAAGTGGGATTTATCCCTGGAATACAAAATGTATTCTGCAAATCAATTAATGTTGACACTCCACAGAAACAGAATGAACAACAAAAATCATATAATCTTATAAATAGATGCAGAAAAAGCATTTGACAAAATCCATCACCTTATTTATGATAAAAACTGTCAGCAAAGTGAGGATAGGGAGGAACATACCTCAACAGTATAAATGCCATATATGACATAACCACAAATAGCAGTATACTAAATGGGGAAAAGCTAAAAGCATTTTCCTTAATATCAGGAACATGACTGGGTTTTCTACTTTTGCCATTTTCATTCAACAATATATTTGAAGTCCTAGCTACAATAATCATACAACAAGAATAAAAAACTACATCCAAATTGGAAAGAAATAAGTAAAACTGTCCTTATTGCAGATCACAAGATACTGTGTATAAAGAACCCTAGAAATTTCACCAAAAACTATTAGAAACGATAATTGAATTCAATAAAATAGGATACAAAATTAATATTCAGAAATCCATTGTATTTTTATACACCAATAATGAACTATAAGAATAAAAAACTAAGAAAACAGATCAATTTACATCTGCATAAAAAATACCTAGAGATAAATTTAACCAAAAAGGTTAAAAATCATTACTTGGAATAATATAACACAGTAAAGCAGGAAATTGAAGAAGATATAAAGAAATGGAGTCATGTATCCTGCTCATAGATAGGAAGAGTTAACACTGTTAAAATATCCATACTACCCAAAGCAGTCTATAGATTTCAAGGAAATCCCTCTAAAAATAACAGTGTCATTTTTTCATAGAAGTAGAACAAATAATCCTAACCTGTGGAACCACAAAAGACCCTGAATTGCCACGACAATTTTGAGAAATAAGAACAAAGTTGGAGGTATGATTCTTATCAAACTCTACTATAAGGCTATAGTAATCAAAATTGCACAACACTGGCATAAAACACACATAGTTCAATGGAACAGAATTGAGAGCCCAAAAATAAACCCATGCCTGTGTGGTTGATTTATATATGACAGAGGAAGTGAGAACATACAATGAGGCAAAGGTTCTCTATTCAATAGTGTTGGGAAAATTGGAAAAAATACTTAAAATAATGAAACTAGACCGCTATCTTGAACCATATACAAAAACAAACTCAAAATGGATTCAAGACTTAAATGTAAGATCCAAATCTATTAAACTTCTAGAAGGAAAAATAGGCAGTAAAATTTCTTACATTTCTCTCAGCAATATATTTTTTCTGATGTATTTCCTTGGGTAAGGGAAACAAAAGAAAAATGGGACTAAAAAGTTTTAGACAGCTATGGAAACCATCATCAAAACAAAATGCCAGCCTACTGAATTGGAGAATATATTTTCCAATGTTATAATTAATAAGGGGTTAATATTCAAAATATATAGAGAACTCATCCAACTCAAAATAAAAAAATAAGCAATCCAATTAAAAAATGGGCAGAGTACCTAAATAGACATCTCTCTAAAAAGGTCATACAGATTGCCAATAGACATATGAAAAAACGCTCAGCATCACTAATCATCAGAGAAATGCCAAATGAAAGCATAATGAGATATCACCTCACATCTGTCAAATGGCTATCATCATTAAATCAATAAACAAGTGCTGACAAGGATGTGGAGAAAAGGGAATCCTTGTGCACTATTGGTGGCAGTGCAGATTGGTGCAGCCACTATGGGGAATAGTATGGTGGCTCCTCAAAATATTAAAAATAAAAGTATCTTACAATCTAGCTATTTTACTTTTTTGTATATTTCCAAATAAATTAAAAATACTAATTCATAAAACCATATGCACCTCTATGATCATTGCTATGTTATTTACAATAGCCAAGATATGAAAGCAAACCAAGTGCCCATCAATAGATGACTGAATAAAGAAGTAGTACATATATACAATGGAATATTATTCAGGCATAAAGAAAAAACAATGACATTTTACTATTTGCTACATAGATAGCCCTAGCGAGTATTATGCTAAGTGAAATAAGTCAGAAAGAGACAAATATCATATGATTTTACTTATGTGTAGAATCTAAAGAACAAAAGAAAGAAATATATAAAACAAACAGACTCATAGATGCAGAAAACCAATTTAAGCTTGGCTGGCAAGGCACAGTGATTGAGTGTCGACCTATGAACCAGGAGGTCATGATTTGATTCCTGGTCAGGACACATGTTGGGGTTTCAGGCTACATCCCAAGTAGGAGTCGTTCAGGAGGCAGCCGATCAATGATTCTCTATCTCTCTCCCTCTCCATTCTTCTCTGAAATCAACAAAAATTGTTTTTTGTTTGTTTGTTTGTTTGTTTTTTAAAGAAAGCCAATTTAAGGTTGCCAGATGGAGGGAGGATTGAGAGGCTGGGTGAAAAAGAGGAAGGGATTAAGAAGTGCAAATTGGTATTACAATTACTCATGGGTATGTAAATTATACCATAGGGAATATAGTCAATAATATTATAATACTGTATATGATGTCAAGTAAGTACTAGTATTATTAGGAGGGTCACTTCAAAAATTATATAATTGCCTAATCACTATGCTGTATGTCTAAAACTAATATAAAATAATATTTAATGTCAATTGTAATTGAAAAATAAAAATAAATGCTATTGAAACAATTGGTTATTAATAGGCTGAAAATGAACCATGACCCTAAGCCTTTCCATATTTTAAAATGAAGTGAAAATGGATCATAAATGAAAATGTAAAACATTATATTTGTTAAGAAAATATTAAAGAAAACATCAAGAAGTAAGGTTAGGCAAAGTGTTTTTAATCATGGAACCAAAGGCTTGTAAGACATTAAAGAATAAACCAATAATTGGGACAGTCAAAATTATAAGCTTATCTGTGAGATACTATGCAAGAAGAGGAAAAGACAAA